AACATAACAGTAGTGTACATATGATAAAACTATCAAAGCCACAACATAACAGTAGTGTACATATGATAAAACTATCAAAGCTACAACATAACAACAGTAGTGTACATATGATAAAACTATCAAAGCTACAACATAACAACAGTAGTGTACGTATGATAAAACTATAAAAGCTACAACATAACAACAGTGATGTTCTAGGTGAGTCTAGAGATGATAAAACTATCAAAGCTACAACATAACAACAGTAGTGTACGTATGATAAAACTATCAAAGCTACAACATAACAACAGTGATGTTCTAGGTGAGTCTAGAGATGATAAAACTATCGAAGCTACAACATAACAACAGTGATGTTCTAGGTGAGTCTAGAGATGATAAAACTATCAAAACTACAACATAACAACAGTAGTGTACATATGATAAAAACTATCAAAGCTACAACACAACAACAGTAGTGTACGTATGATAAAACTATCGAAGCTACAACATAACAACAGTGATGTTCTACGTGAGTCTAAAGATGATAAAATGACATTAATCACAGATGATTTGTTTGTTTGTAATTAAGCACAAAGCTACACAATGGGCTATCTGTGCTCTGCCCACCACGAGTATCGGATTCTAGTGTTGTAAGTCCGCAGACATTCCGCTGTGCCACTGGGGGGCATCACAGATGAAGTAATGGGAGTATGAAGTTCGATTGATTTGCTACTACCATAAAAATGGAAGATTGTATTATTTACCGTTGTTTTGTACGTACAGCTCGTTAATTGCAATCAAACGATAAGGTTACAATGAAACCGATCTCTTAAGATTCTCCCAACGTTTATGTTAAGATTTTATATCGTACGTTCTAATAACGATAAATATATACAATTTTGAATTATGGAGTGTGTGTGTGTGTGTGTTAGTGCTATTCATTTTTTTTATAATGGTAGGCATGCCGTTTTGTAAGGGTTTGGAAAGAAGCTAATGTATGTTTTCCTTTTTGGAAACATTCATCATGAAAATATTCTAACCCATAAAATACGCCACATCTGTTTTAGTTTAGATACTCGCATTTCTGTATGTCTGTCTCTCCACTCAAAGAGGCTCTACTGTGTGAAATGCTACATTTACCAGTAGGTAAACTGTTGTCGCACGAGTACATCTTTCTTTTCTTCAAACCTCCACTTTTCTGAATAAGGTTAAATGTGCCGATTTCGTTAAATGGCCATGTTATATTTAGAACCACATTACATTGAGACTAGTGATAACGCAACTTATAATAGCTGAGGGTGACTCATGCTATCCACCAGGTAACTAAGTATAGACAGCATGTAGATTCTACTGTAGATTCTTGTAAATATGTATGTCATCCAAAAATCATGCAAGCACAGAGTGTTTGTTAACACTGTTGCGCCTTTACATACGAAGTGTTTGTTAAGATTATCGCGCCTGTACACGCGTAGTGTTTGTTAGCTCGTTTATAAACATTGTTTATCAAAACGATTACGTCTGTAACACATTGTTTATTAACACTGTAGCGCCTACACAAGCGTAACTGAGGTGATCAAATTTCAGAATTATTGTTTCTATCCTCGCAGTTACTTACCTTAATTGTTTTAAAAAGCTGCAGTATTGACCCAAAAGTGTTTATTTTTAAAGACCTTATAGCTGATTGTATTTCTTGTTATGTTATTTTACGCCTTAGAAGCAGTAAAGTTGAGTTGATGTTTAGTGAAATATCGTAAAGCAAGTTTTCATAAGGTGATTGAACGGTCCGTTGATTATTTAAAAGTAAAATTTCAACTGGATTAACAAATGTTCTGCTTAATATATATAAGGATGATTAAATGTTTAAGAGAACCATCTAAGTCACATGTGAACCAAAGTTTTTAAAATGAAGGATGTTCTTTAGAATAAAGAAAAACTCATTCCAAAATAAAAAAGTCACTTATTCTCATGTAAATTATTATCATTATTATTTGTACGTTCAAAAATATATCATTAAATTTCTTAAGGAATAATATGTTGAATAAAAGATACACAATTTTGAAACGGTCAGTTGATTATTTAAAAGTAAAATTTCAATTGGATTAACAAATGTTCTGCTTAATATATATATAAGGACGATTAAATGTTTGGCGGAACGTGTTAGAGAACTGCTTATCCAGTACAGTATACAAACCGTGATTATTTTATTTGTATTTTTATATGATCCTGAAAAAAGCACGATTGTAAGCATAAGTTTCATCAATAGAAAAGTAATCCTAAATATTTAGGTGCGATTAAGAACGAGTCTGGATTAGCCTTAATCTAACTGATATCATATATGGCTAGTTTTGTTTTTGTTGAATAATTTATCTGATTATTAACCCGAATTAGCTTAAATCTAAAGTGTAGATTACTATTTAAACCACACATCGCTATAACGGTTAACCAGGCTTCAAAAAGTAGCTCTTTTATTTTCTACCTTACAATTTTATCTTGTTTAAAACTTTCATTATCACATATTAAAATTTAAGTAGATGTGAAACAAAAAACATATTTTGTAGAATCTTGACTTCTAAATCAGTTTTTCCGTTAACTGCGAATGAAAAGGAATATTAAAAACAACGTGGGGACTTAGACTCCACACTGAGTCCTTCATCAGGTCTGAAATCAAGAAAAATAACATGAGAATCCACAGGAAACTCAGCCCTTACGTTGAATGCAATGCCTAAGTCCACTCTAAAAGAACATACGGATTTCTTAATATTGGCTAAAATAAAGAAATCCTAGACACATTAACAACGTTTAAAATGTAAAAATGTAACTTGTTTAAAGAACTTATTTTACGAGATCGATACCTTGGTAATCTTTGCGTAATCATTGGGAAACTATAAGCAAACATTTCAAGTTCTGCGATGATAAATAGGTGGATTTTTCAAGTGCGGTGTCTATATTTACTTGACACATTTTTGTAAACAGATGGGTTTAATTTCAGTCAAGACACCCATAAAAAAATTTGTACGATAAAGAAGCATCTGTAATATATCTTACACACGTGAAAAAAAATCACACGTCTGAAGACTGGGTGTCATAATCTTTTCCTGTTGTGGTTAGGGTTTTATCTGAAGAGTTAATTTGTTCAGAACGTGTCTTGTTCACTGACTTAATCATTTCTCTATTAGATTACAATTATACAGTTTAGTCTAACATGTTTTAACCCTGTCTTTACGTGGACCAGTTATACTGACTGATGACGTAACGCTAATCTTATTTTATTAGAGACCTAAATCATCTTATCTTTTGTCAGAAGTGATTTAGAATTATACGGCTTAGTTTAAAGGTTTTGTTCAATACGAGTCTTGTTCATCGTGACCTTTAAAGATAACCAAAGATAATAAGTACACATTACAAATTATTTCGTTTCTCGGCTGAACCCGAAATGACTTTTTAATTATTTTGCTAGCCAAGTGATAAATGTATTTATGGAGTAAAACCACAGAATTGAATGTGATATTTTGTTTCAGCCGAAAGTCGAGAGGATAAATTTGATAAATTCGTGAACCTATCCTTTCTCTACCTCCAAGTATAAATCTATTAAACAAAGTTATCAGATGAAAGCAGTCAGTAAGTTATCAGGCAATATTTCAAAAAAAAAAAGAAGTAAATTTGAATTCACAGTAAAGTAATAACTGAGCAAAAAGATGAGGAAATTAAAATGAAACTAACAGGTTACCGAAGTTACATTTCGTAACTAGCTGTCTATACGTTAAGGGATATCTCTACCATTTGAAATACCTGTCCTGGCACTTTTTTTTCTGATTTTTGTTCTAAATTTACTTCCGGGTGGCTAGGTAACTAAACTGTTGATATATATATATACACATTACGTCATATACTCTCAAACAATAAACTCAAACGATTGGTTTTTGTTAATGATCATTGCACCGATAACTTCATGGCCAAAACTGTGGAAATCCCGTC